GGATCATCATGTTCATTAAGGTTAAGTATGGATAAATCTGAAATATATTAGTACTGAGTAGCGTGTTAAATTTTTTCAACCCATCTACTCAACTTCTCGAATGTGCAAAATGTCTAATTGATCCAAACCAAATTAAAAATTAAATCAAACCAAATTAAAAAAATGGTTTTTTTTCGAAAACCGATTAAAAAATATATCCACTTTTTAATTTTAAATATAGTTTGATTATTCATTTATCAAATGGTTTAGATATACTGCATAATCAAATCATATTCATTTCTTTTTTTTAATCATTTTACGTTTTAACCCAATATATATATATATATATATATATATATATATATATATATATATATATATATGAGTTTAGTGAGTATTAAGTGATCACTTGATGTAAATTAGGTCCAGTGTACTATATTCTTCCGCGAGAATATAGTGCACAAAATTTTTTGCCTATGTTCTCCCGGGAAAACACCTGTAGAACACCATTGTAAGAATTTTGACTATATTTTCGCGGTAGAATATAGTCAAAATTCACTTATTTAACAGTTCAGTGACTGAATTTTGGATTTTTCATATATATATATATATATATATATATATATATATATATATATATATATATATATATATATATATCAGCTCTTACATTCTTTGCCCTTGACTCCAAGTTGAATATTCCTTCACTAGGAAAATCGTGTTCCAAACACACAATAAGAGAACTTTGACATTGCTGATTGCAATATAGAAAGACAGCATTATAGCACACAACAATTTCAACATTCTCATTTTGACAACTTCAAAATAACAGATCAAGAATGTTATTATCCCCTAAATAGTGTGATAAATAGATGGTCGAATTTGATCAATACTATGGTCATTTTGTTTACGAAAATCTATGGATGATCGATGATTAGAGGATTGCTTTCCAAGTAAGTGTAAGTAATGCTTATGAACTATGTACCTACCGGTTCAATGCCTTTATTCTTTTAAAAGATGTTTTTTTTCACAATCTTGGTGAGGTGACTACTCAGAGAGAACTCTGAATTATCTAATTATAAATTCTCCCAGGCTCCATATATAGTTCTACATGTCCATGTAATTGTTGTAGGGCCGGCAAAATGGGCTGAGCCCGCCGGGCTGGCCCACCCCGCCTGCCAAATGGGGCGGGCTGGGTTGAGTTTTTCAACCCACCAGCCCGCCAAACCCGCCAGCCCGCCACGGGGCGGGCTAGCCTGCCAATTCCTTTTTTTTTTTTTTTTTTTTAGGTTACCCAATTGTTATGTAGCTCCGTATCTTAGATTTCTCTGCATGCAAGTGGCTTTTTTGAATTGTTGTGGACTGCTCATACAACACTTTGTTACTTATTTTGTTACTCTATTTTATCCTGATATGATTTTATTTTTTTATTATTATTTTTGGATTGAAAGAAGCATATTTATATGCAGATTATTAAACACTGATCTTCTTGGTTTCATAAGCACATTAGGATTTTATGCAGATTTTTGTATACTTTTATGCAGATTTTTTTATGTGATTTTATGCAGAATTTAATTTTTTTATTTAATTTATATATTTTTTTATTTTAGGCGGGCTGGCCCGTAGCCCGCCAGCCCACTCATAAAACGGGCCGGGTTACTCAATTCAACCCATTTTGTCAAAACGGGCCGGGGCGGGCCAGCCCATTTTGGGCGGGCTAGTGGCGGGCCGGGGCGGGCTGACCCATATTGCCAGCCCTAAATTGTTGTAACATGCATCTGTATTGATTTAGAAATATATAAGATAACTAAAAAAAAAAGCTAAAACTATCACCGGATATCCTAGTAGTATCGAATATAGTGTGTGTCTATGATTGATATGAAAACCATTTCAATATGGAAGAGACAGTTACTATTAAGTATGAAATGATGTTTAGATATAATATTCAATGTTTTATTTTATTAATTATTTTATTTTATTTTTTTCAAAAAAAACACAACTCATCAAAAACCAATTTTAAATTTGTTATAAAATTGGTTTTAATTTGATAATTGGTTTTTGATTTAAAATTGGTTTTGAATTAAAATTGGTTCAAAACCAATTTTCAATCAGAACCGGTTATAATCCATAAACTGATTTTGGAACCGATTTCAAACTGGTTTGAAAAAAACTAAAACCGATTCTTAAAATATAAAATCGGTTTGGTTTGAAAACCAAACAATTTAAAATCGATTCGGTTTTTGAAAAATCGAACCGAACCGCTTCATGCACATCCTTAAAAGTCATAAAAGTCATGCATTATGAATTTATGATAAAAAACCAGAATGTGCTCTCTTTGCGTCTCTTGTTAATAGTCTGGGTTAGGAGCTTGCACATAATAGAGGAGTTTGAGATCCACAAATACTCTCTCTGTCCTAATTTTCCTTTACTTATCCCCCAACCCTCCCTCATAGGGACACAAGGTGTGTCTAAAGCCTTTAGAAAGAAAAATACATCTATGCCCGAAGTCTCAAGGTGTTAAAATGGGTCAAACTTCACATACTAATTTGAATAACATGACAAAATATGCGAATTGGGCCAACAAGATTAAAGTAAAAATAAATCCAAAAGCGACATGGACCCTTAAAAGTTGAAACCCATATTAATAGGTTTTTTTTGATTAATATAATCCTTTATTAATAATTATTTACTAAATTGTCCTTGATTAGAAATTATTTCGAATTAACCCTTCAAAAAAACATAACATTAATCTGACCTTGTTTGATTGTTGACCACGAAACCTACCTGGGTACTTCACTCCATACGCGGGTATTTTTTTGAAAAATCAACTCTACCCGGATACGGAGGTGCGTACTCGGGTATTGTTCTTAAATTTGAAAAAGTCTTGAATTATTTCTCCGGTAGGTATGGGGATACCCGGATAGATTGTGACGATATCTACGGCTCCTCCTCCTTCTCCTCCACAGACAGTAACCCCTCCTCCTTCCCCACCCCTCTCTCCTCTGCCATCACCTACGCTGCCGCCAACTAAGTCCCCTCCTCCGTCATCATCCTCGCCTCTGCCAACTAAAAGGAAAAGTAAATTCACAATGGGAAAAAGAAACCCAGCTCACAGAAACAAAACCTTTTTTTGTAGCAGAAGAGAAATCAAGGAGCATCCAGCATTTCATGACCCAGATTTGTTACTGGCTTAATCCACTGTAGAAGCTGAAGTCAAGGCCAAAATGCAGCATACCCATATCTCCAAAACTGGCACAAGGTAGAACCCATAAACAAAAAATGAAATCTTTAACAATATCTGAAAGGAGGGTTTATCTATGTAGGAAACTAGGAAGCTTCAAAACTCCAAAGGAAAAAAAGCTTATTTTGCGAAATATGGCAATAGTGGCATACACAGCACACCCCACAAGATGTCAGGCCGATATCTACCCGAATACCCCATACCTACCGGATAAATAATTCAAGTTTTTTTCAGATTTAAGAACAATACCCGGGTACCCACCTCCATACTCGGGTAGGGTTGATTTTTTTTAAAAATACTCGGGTATAGAGTGGAGTACCCTGGTAAGTTTCGTGGTCAACGGTCAAACAGGGCAGATTGGTGGTGTTATATTTTTTTGAAGGGTTAATTTTTTGAAATAATTTTTAATCGAGGTAAATTTGATAAATAATTATTAATAAAGGGCTGCAGTGTTCAAAAAGCCCATATTAATATCAACAAAATCTCCTCTGTGGCTGAGTTGCTATAACCACATTCCCTATACGAATTATTATTAGCCTTTCGTTTACTCTTTCCTTGTATTCGAATATGCTTATGAGAAAGGATCTCTTTTTCTAACTTTACATAACTAATAAATTAACGTGATGACAAACAATTTCAGAAAAAAGAAGGTGAAACCTGTACGTTTGAAAGATACAAATATGAGCTTTCTTTTTTATTTAACATTAAACATCTATAAAGTTATGTAACCCACTTATTATTAAAAAAAATGCGTTTTTTAGAAAAAGAAAATTAAACTTTTATGTTTAAAAGACAAAAATAAATGACTTTTCTATTTATTTAACATCAAACATATATAAAGTTACGTAACCAGCTTATTAAATAAAGACCTTTCCACTTGTAGTATAATCCACATAAAACTCACCATCTATATAGGGTTAACAAAATTAGTTTGAGAAGTGTCATCTGTCTAACTGTAGCATTGTAGAGTAGGAGGCTACCTGTCCACTGAAATTAAGCTGATCAGTGTCGTGTAAAATAATTGAACTGAATCGAATTTAATCATATTTATTTAAATGAATTTTGACAATTGAATTGATTTAAAAATTAAACGGAATTAAAAGAATTTGTTTGAATTTAAAAAAAAAATTGAACTGATTTGTTTTAATTCAAATTGATTCCGAACTCGTTTGAAACTAATTAAGAATTAATTATTTAAATCGAATTGGTTTAAACTTTAAATTGTTTGATTCGGTTAAAAAAACCGATTTGGATTAGATTCACTCGCAATTCAGAATATTATTTGGATTAAAATTATAAATATTATTAAGACTAATAAAAAGAGTTAACTATTACAAATATTTCCAAAAAAGAACTAATATTAAAATCAATGACAATGAATCCTCTTATATTTTATTTAACATATTATGATTATGAATCATATAAAAATAAATTAACGGTGATAATTTTAAAATTACTTACTTTATATTTTCTTCTTCTTCTTATAATCATATTCACCTTTTTATAAGTATCTTCAAAACTAATAATCTATTATTATTTAAAAAAAAAAATTGTCATTTTAAAAAGGGGAACCGCCCCTTCCATATATATGAATATGATGCCATTTCTCAAGTTCCATCAAGTTTGCAAGTTTTCTCAAGAGTCAAGACTTAATAAGTAACATTTGTCTATAATCTCTGGAACCTTCGAGGTAAGTACATGATGGGCTTTGTGGCATCCAAATGAAGTTGGTAACTGTTAACTATTGTTTGCTCCTTGTGTCGCTTGAAAACAAGATACATCCTAGAATTGGTTTATATAGATTACAATATTGGGTTTTATGTACTTTGTAATTTCTAGACCCTTCCAATTTCAATATCCCTCACTGCCTTTCCGATCTATGGCTTTCGAGACGCATTGTTTTCTGAAGAAATAAAATAAAAACCAAAATATTAAAATAATATTAAGTTTTTTTGAAAAACCTCAGTAAATAGACCCTTGTTCCACTGTCACGGGTCATTGTTCATTCTTAGTCTCGTAAGTCGTAACCCATGCCAACGTCGTCGTTTCCTCGTTCTCATTAACTGTCAACGCCGGAACCCAATCGCCAATGTCGGCCTCCGGTGGCGCCGCGATCGCCGGCGAGGACTGCGTCCGGAGCCTCCGGTTTCGCGGCGAGAATCGTTTCTACAACCCACCACGGTTTCGGAAATGCAGACAAGAACAAGAACAAGAACAAGAACAAGAACAAGAACAAGAACGAGAACACAACCGGAAGCAGGAACGGGGGTCAACGTTGTCGGAGAACAGGCCTGGTTCCTCTTCCGGTTACTCCATTTCTTCGAGGGGGACAACGAGTGACGTCTCCAATTTGGGTCGATTCTTGGAGCACATAACCCCACATGTTCCCGCCCAATATTTTCCCATGGTAAATCGATGCTTTTCAATTTTCATGATACGAGTTTATGATCCTTTTTTTTATTATTTTATTTAGTTTTATTAATTTGCAGTGAAAAGTTTGATTTCTAATGTAATCAAGACTCGTTCTTTATGCATTGAATAAATTAGGATGATACTTTCTTTTAAGAATATCCCCTGAATTGAGGTAATAATGCAAACAGATTGGTGTGACTATGATTGCTTATTTTGTTTCAAAGGGCATTGTTGGGCTTATTTTGGTGGAAATTTTTTGTATGGATCAACAGAGAAGTGTGAGGAGATGGAAAACAAAGGAGACAGAGTTGCATTCATACTTTGTTCTTGGGGACTTGTGGGAATCTTTTAAGGAATGGAGTGCATATGGGGCTGGTGTTCCTCTGGTTATGGATGGTAATGAATCCGTCACGCAGTATTACTATGTCTCCTTGTCTGCCATTCAGCTTTATATTGATCCGTCAAAACCTTCCCTGTGCTTAAGGTCAGTGTTTTACTGTGATAAATGTTAGTTCTACATGTTCCCTCTTCATTCATTGACCAAATTCCTAACATTTTGACATTCTGAAGTAATTGTTTTTTTTTATTTTTTATTGTTGTACTGATTCTGGATTGTTCACTATAATATTTGATGAGTATTTTATTTTATTTTTCCTTTTTTTAACTTAGTGGAGAGTTAGATGTACTTATAATTGTGCATCTAATTCTGCATTATTTAAATGTGGTCCAAATTTAACAGTTCAGAACTATACTACCAGTGAAAACTTAAAACGTTTAGAGCAAGCATCTCAGATCTTATAAATCATTAGTTTTTGAGCAGACTAGCAGAGCCCCCTCCGATTTGAACTTACTAGACTTGAATGTGATGGATTATACCACGCCCAATTCATGTTGCATAAAAACTTGACTGTTGCTTCTGATGCTGTCGGTCACCAAGCCTCCTTATCTGTACACATACTTAGAGATTTGATCCTCTAACCCGTAGGATGGCCAGGGCCATAAACAAATTAGAGTTTTAGTTTTGATGTATTGCGAATGTAAAAAAGTTTTGTATTGTCATCCAGTGTTGTATTATCACATATTTTATGAGTTTGACAACTCATGTGTTATTACACTCATTACCCACCCCTACACGCACCATTATCATCTGGTCAGAATATCCATGCAGGGATGTTATGAGTGTTATTACACTCATATATATATATATATATATATATATATATATATATATATATATATATATAGAGGTTAGCAACCTCCACATTTTGTTATCAACGAAACTTTGTCTTAAGGATATTTTTGTAACTTAGGATTATCAAATTTAATGAAAAATGGGAATACTAACAAAAAATTTAATGCTAAAAGAGAACTTGTCTAATCTAATTACATTAAAAAAAGGGAAAGATAAAAAAAAGTAACAATTTTGACTAATTTATATAAAAAAAATACAAAAGAGTTTGGCACACAAATTTTAAATAAAAAACATTTATAAGTAATTTAATAAAATATAAAAAAATTGTAATTTACTTAAGTAATACATAAATATAATAAAAATCAGTTTGTCTATCGTGTTCATTTTTTTAAGTTAATTTTAAAATTTTATATGGAGTATCTTTTCTTATCCTTTTTACTTGCTATTTAATGAATGAATTTGTGCATATGAAATTTTTTATTAATTTTTAATATATAATTTTAACATGATTTTTCTCTCTTCATCACTGCCAATTTCAACTATTCTCTATAAAGTTAGCCTATCCTTTCTTCCTCCCTCCTTCTCTCTCTCTCTCTCTCTCTCTCTCTCTCTCTCTCTCTTATTAAATGAGCTAATTTGAACCATTAAATCAAAACAAAATCAATGATTAGAACCTGATGTAATAGGTTTAAATGACTAAAATAATAAAACCATGACTGAATGATCAAATCAGTTCCTCTTTCCTGATATGTTCCCTTATATATTGTAGAATCACACTTTCTACACCAAAGCTTAAGCTGTTAGTGATGGTTCAACTTTATTTCCTTATTGCTTCTCAAAGCCTGATCAGGAACTAAGGGACTATACCCATTTTAAGGTGCCATAGTTTGGGATGTCAAGCCCAAGAATCTTAAAGGTGACACTAGCCCGATTAGTCTGATTAGTCATTTTTAGGCTTGGCTTCTGATTATTGTGCTATGGAGATGCCTTCGGCATGTTCTACTGAACATGCTCTAGGTGAAGCTATAACACATAAGTTCAAGTTGGAGGAAAGACTAACTGTCCTACGTTGAATATCTTTTATAACCTTGGCCAACAAGTTCATATCATTTTGTCTATAGAATTTTGGAGATAGATGAATAAGACAGTATCCAACTTGCGGACCAAGGGTATGTGATCTAATCTTGAGTTGAGCAGAAAAATAAAGTGACTAGTGTGGATCTTCCCTCTGTTGTCCTGCGCTATTAAATGACTTTTCAGGAGCTGTCTTAGCCTAAAACTTATAGGAATATGGCTTATTTAGGTAATCTGATTTTACTTATCTTTCTAATTGAGTTTATCACATGTTAGCTGTGTCTGTTTGTGGGTTGAATTTAGCATATTTGCTCGACTGTCCACACTCCAGAACTCTATTAAATTCTCAGAATAATACTGTCCCCTGGCGTATCTTTGAAACTATTTTTTCGTGTTGCTCGTAGTCTTGGTATTGCCTGCAAGTTGTAAATGACATTCAATAGCATACGTGTTTAACCTATAATTTTATAATGACAAACATCCATTTAGATGCTAGGAGTTCAGAATAAGGAGACTACTTTATCATTTTTCCTATTGTCAGCTTTTTGTCCTATTTTCAGATGTAGGCATCCACGTTCGACCCTTTTCTATGCACCTGTTTACTACTTTGGCTGAGTTACAAGACCTAGCAAACCACTTATTTGTTGAATCTATGAATCGGTTTCATTCTCGTTTCCATCATATTGCAGGAGACCCAATCAAGAGAGTGACTCTGAATCAGCTAGAGAGACAAGCAGTGATAGCAGCAGCAGCTGTTATCAGGGCAGTTGGATCAAGCCTAACTTGTCAGATCCAAGCAATCATGGTCTGGAAAAAGTTTCACTAAAAAGTAAACCGTTCATGGGTTCATCAAGTGATGAGACTGATAGCTGCAACCCACCTGGTCAACTTATATTTGAATACTTTGAGCATGAAACACCTTATAATCGTGAGCCATTAGCAGATAAGGCAAGAACATTATCCTTTGGATCGGTTCCACTTTGAGATTATGTTGTTTTTCAATCCTAACAAAGAATTATATTTCGTGCCTCAGATTTCTAACCTTGCACGTCAATTTCCTGGGTTGAAGACATACCGGAGCTGTGATCTTTCACCTGCAAGTTGGGTTTCATTGGCTTGGTATGTTTATCTCATCCTTTTAATTGTGAGATTGTTAGGGTTGGTTGACACATGATTAGTACTAATTTAAAATTATATGCAGGTATCCAATATACAGAATACCTACTGGTCCTACACTACAAACCCTGAGCGCCTGCTTCCTGACATTCCATTCCCTGTCAACAGCTTTGCAAAGTATGTCATGCTGTCTTTTGGCTAGTTTCTATATGTGCTAAGTGCATGTAATGTAAGGGGATCAATTATAACAGTGTTATTTGAATCAGGTCCAAATACTGATGATGGGTTTCATATTCACTGTTCAAGAAGTAGGGACATCTCATCCAAGCTATCATTACCAGTCTTTGGACTTGCCTTTAATAAGTTCAAAGTTTCTATCTGGGATCCTGATGGGGTTTCTGAAGGTCAGAAAGCTAATTCTCTGTTGCGAGCTGCTGACAACTGGATTAGGCTATTGAGTGTTAACCATCCTGATTACAATCACTTTACCTCCCATTATTCGTATTGGAGATGAGTAGTGTTTTCTCTGAAACTGAAGCACCCCAACTCCCAAGTCCCATTTTATGAACTAGTGGTATCCTCTCTGCCAGGATTACTTGTGTTGTCTTGAAATAGAACAACAGGGCCATTGCTTCAGTGAGGGATTCAGGGTTCATATTAAAAGGGTCTGTTCTTCTGTTTTAAGAGGAGGCCTCTAACCAACAGTTTCTGCTTCTTTCTTGTATGATGATGAAGAAAAGGTCCAATTGTCTCTGTAAAATACGTGTTTCACCTGGAATTTTGTGTCTAGTTTTGTACAGACTATGGCTGACATCATATTCCTCAATATACACATCCTTATTGTGAGATGCAATTATCCTACAGGATTCCAGTACTACTGGTTTATTCTTGATAACGGCTATTGTTGTAACTAAGTCCAAGGGATATTCCATTAGGATTACCTGGATTTTCCTATTTTGCGACCGGCACTAGTGGTAACTTAGTCATCCCTTTAATAAAATTGAAGGCAACAGCTGGTTAAAATCTGAAACTAAAATATTAAAATATATTTCAGAAATATATTCATTGTAAAGAATTTAAGGCCAGTTTTTTAAAGATAAACAAATAGTTTTTTTTAATAAAAAGAAAAAAAATTCAAAACATAATCAAAGTATTTTATTTTTATTTTTAAAATTTATACTAAGGAATTTTATTTTCTCATTCTTATTCTAAGAGGATTCTTAACTTATTAATAAAGCAACATTAGAAATCGCGGTTTTTTAGCAAACTCGAGAGAATATGGAAAGCAGATCCTAGGACCAACGACATTGACTAATAACAGATAGGAGCTATTATATATCAAATCTAGTAAGTAAATAATTTTATAGTATAATTTTAATATCAACTGAAATATATTCTATAGTCTGGTATCGTTTTGTCTAGTACCATAGGATGGTATAATCTGTACATTAAAACCAAATCAATGAAATCAATAAATCAATATACCCTCCCTAAAATTATTTTTGCTTTACAGTTCCCTCTATTTTAAATACTTAAACAGATCAATTCTAAAAAATTTAAAAAAAAAAAAAAAAAACTTACGTGAATAAAATAAAAAACTATACTCATTAAGAATTAGTTTCCTTTCAATTTTAACCCTCTAGAAGTTAAACAAAGACTAATTACTTTTAAAATTATTCTTGTTTTTATATTTTCACTAGATAAAATAAAAAAAAAATGTCAACAAATTAATAATAATTTGATAATAAAGAGTAATCTAATCATGTACAGTTATATTATCATAATTGATATTTTCTTTAATCACTGCAATTCAAACATCAGATATTTTGAAACAATACAAGTTCATAACTAACCAATACTCGGTCCTAAGAACACCACTCCGCGTCAAGCTTATGATAAATACGCAGCTGAAAACTCAACAACTGTTCCGGAAGATTAGCTCAAATTGACACTCCAGTGCCCTTACCTTTTTTTTTTTTTTGGGTTATCGAGGAAAATCTTAAAGAAAAGCCTAAAACACAAAGATGCTCTGAATTGTACTGCGCCCATTGTTCCATTCTCGTCAAACGAATTTTATTCCCATTGGTTATTTGGAACTAACATAGAACTCAAACAGGATAAAAAGGGTTCTTCCATCTTTGCATTTTATGAACATAATTTATAGATACATTACATATTTATCCGATCTAGCTACTACAACCACTTGGCACCATTCTGAGTAAACTCCTCCCTCGTGCTTATAGCTCCTGCTCCTAATACAATAATGGCATACGAGCTACAATAATTTCAGTCATAATTTATCATCAAGAATGGTGGACATCAGCAGCCCTTGCACGAAATCAAACCTTCGAGCCTTCTCTACTTGATCCTCGTCCGACAGCTGTAACTGTTCAATTTTTCTGTAACCATACACTATTGTCAGACAAGAAGTTTAAAACTAGTTCTGAGTGACAAAAAAAAAAAAGGGCTTTGAAGCAGTATGCCAAGATTCTAAAATGATCATATTACAGTTCAAGTCATACGGTAACATATTTAACCTCATACTGAGTATAACACCTATCACACCTGCGCATACATCTAATACTAGAATTTTCATTTAAAAAAGAAATAAACCCTACAAATTTCCCATTTATATCTCAAACAAAGTAAAGCTTAATCAAACAACAATATCAACACTCCTACCTTTCCAAGAAATCATCTTTTGAGCTTTCTTTAACTGGGGCAACTTCGATGGAAGGACAAGATTGTACACTAACAGATTCATCAGCTACAACCGGATTAAAAATAAATGATGACAACAGAGGATCAGGCTCAGAATTGGAGGAAGCTACGTACGAAGAACCTCCCAGAAGGGACTGCAAGGCTCCTTCTCGCAACTCTTTTCTCAATATAGAAAATGTTGAACTAGAGCCTCCTTTCCTGACCCTTCTTTTACGCTGCACGTAATTTCTTGTTACGGAAAAACTTTGAAGTCTCCAGTCTGACACTGTTATAGAAACTAAACCAAGAAAACCAAAACATTTGGCCAAAATAATTGTACATGGAATGAAATAATTACATGAGGCAATGCAAATACAAAATTGGTTCACCTGACACAACGACTTGTTTTATATACTTATTACATTGATAGAAGATAGCACAAGATATTATTACCATTTAACAATGCTGAAATACTAGAATAACTACATACAATTACTAGCCACATTAGACAAATTCATCAGATACAGCATACCATACCTACTAAGAGGCAAATAACGGCTGCTCTTCATTTCAAATAAACTAAACAAATGCTTGCTAAATATTGAAATACTCACTTTCCAACAAATTGTACATATCCATCAAATATGCGCAGCAAAGTTTTTAAACTTCAAGAGTATCAAACAATTGAGACGCCTATTAAGTCTACAACTTGATTCCCCACCCCCGCCCCCAACAACACATGAGCAAGGATCTAATTTACAGAGAAATTGAAACAGCAAGAACAAAAACATCAAACAAAACCACCCGCAAAAAAGGATATTTTTAAAAAATTCCCATGTTGCGTGGTAATATGTCCAACAAGATCCATTCCCACCTTTTTTCCGCAAACCGGACACACCTGAAGATATAAGCAACCCAAGCAACAACCACAGTCAGCAGATAAACACTAAAAAACAAAGGCAATAACCGTTCACGGCAATAACAGTTCACACAAAGAAATCCTCTCTCGAGATCAAGTCTAATTAAGAAAAAAATGAGGTTAAAAAACACGTCATCCTACGCAAATACAACATGTACGTTTGCGCATCAAACAAAAATTGGTAGAAAAGTAATTTCAGCCCAGAAACACAATTATGATAAGAAGGCATATTCTTCTTCAAGTACCAAGCATACCCACTCACTCATCTAGTGGTTATCCTCACTATTACAAACTGGACCACTTCTCAAGTTGTAACAAGACAGCCAATTTGTACTTTTATTTTTCTTTAAAAAAAAAAACACACTTTTTTTCTGAAAAGATAATACAGTAACTGTTAAGCCAAGATACAAGCATATTTTGGTCCTCCCTTCATATGCTTCTTTCCATTAATAATAACACACAAATTTTCCAAACTATTAATATCACAATATTATTATTATTTTACAACGTTGTGTTCCTAGTTCCTAATAGAAAAATCAAAGGCGAGGATTTTGAATTGAGAAATGAAGTGCAAAAAAAAATAAAAATGGATACCCCATTCTTGGCTTCGAGAGGATGGTCCTCGTCAATGTGGCAACAGAGGCCAACGACGTCGTAATCCTCAGCGCAGAAAGGGCAGAGGAACTCCGCTCTGAAATCATCGCCACCGTCGGTATCGTCGAGACCACCGAGGTACAGATCTGCAAACAACACCGATTCATTTTAAAATACCATAAAAAAAAAAAAAAAAAAAGAAGTAGTGGGGAATGGTTTGAGAGAAGGTGAGTGACCAGATCGAGAATGATAGCGGCGTGAGGAGCTTGAGAGACGAGCAGAAATCCAGGAATCGGAGTCCATTTTGGAGAGAAGGAAAGTGGAAATTGGAGTGCGAGTGCGTCGAAGATGAAACGAAACCCTAAGATGGAGATTGAGGATAGAGAGAGAGTGTATCCTTAGAAACAGAACAGTGTGTTGTTGTGGTGTTTTTGTTTCTTAGTTATAATTAAGAAAGATGGTGTGCTTTGCTGTTAATGGAGAAATCACCATGTGGCTCACTGTCTAATTTCCTAAATACCCCTTTAACTACTTTTTCCGGTCACCCGTTCTTGTACGCGGGAATCATGTTCCCGATTCTAGTTTTATATTTATATTATTAACGGAGTTATGAGAACTAAGCAGCTCTCGTAGCTCAGTTGGTTAGAGCACCCGTTTAGTAAGCGGGAGGTCTTGAGTTCGACTCTCAACGAGAGCATTTTTCATAATTTTTTTTTCTTTGTTCATTTAACTTGATTTATTCATTTCTTCCTCCGCCTAACACTCGTGTCGCTTATTCTCGAAAGTCGAAACTATTTTTAACCTTGAGCAATTTCTCTCACACAACAGATTTATGTACTTTTACCCATCTTATCTATTAAGGTGTAACACAACCTATTTCTAAAATCCCCCACAGCAATGCAACACCAAGTAAAAATACAATTTATAGTTTCTCTATATATATTTGTAATAATTGGAAACTCAAACAAAACCTACTTTTATTTTGGGTTGAATTTATTTATTCAAAATCTAATTATGAATGAAGATTTCTAATAATAATAATAATACTGTTAGGTCCTGGAAAGACCGTATTGCTATACTGTATGGTATGCGCTCGGAGTTACCGTGGAATTAGGTATGCCTTTGGCCTATAGCCAATATCTCAATCACTGCGTACAAGCAATAGGCTTATAGCCAAGACGTGGGTGTGTGCACAGTGTTGGCAGTAATAATAGATAGGTTCAAAAGTGTATACCTGGGGTCTAAAATCCCCCACAGCAATGCAACACCAAGTAAAAATACAATTTATAGTTTCTCTATATATATTTGTAATAATTGGAAACTCAAACAAAACCTACTTTTATTTTGGGTTGAATTTATTTATTCAAAATCTAATTGTGAATGAAGATTTCTAATAATAATAATAATACTGTTAGGTTCTGGAAAGACCGTATTGCTATACTGCATGGTATGCGCTCGGAGTTACCGTGGAATTAGGTATGCCTTTGGCCTATAGCCAATATCTCAATCACTGCGTACAAGCAATAGGCTTATAGCCAAGACGTGGGTGTGTGCACAGTGTTGGCAGTAATAATAGATAGGTTCAAAAGTGTATATCTGGGGTCTTTAGCCTTTTATTTATAACGGTTACCTCCAGAATTTTTGTAGATCTCCCAGTTGTAGTATGATTCAGCTTCCTGGCTATTGAGATAAGGACTCTATCCCTAGTATCTTGTTGTTTAATATTGTTAGGATAATTGAGCATTTATCCCTTAGGGGGCGTTTGGTTCAGGAAATTTTTTGGAATAGTAGGGAAATGAGATAGATAGAGAAATGATTGGAAAGATAGATAAAGTGAGATAGGTAGAAAAATGTAAAAAAAAAGTTGTTTGGTGGGGAAAAACTTTACTGGGAAAATTAGGTAACTTTATGAAATCAACAGTGCATTAAAAGCCAGATAACCGGTTTTCCGAAAAATCCCACCTTCAAATTGGTTTCTAAACAGTGCGGATATCTATGTTTCTCATAAATCCAGACAAATTGGATAGATGAGTTTTTGGTGAAAAACGTTGAAACAAACATGGTGTTTCTAAAAGCCATACTCGAGAAAGATAGATATCCGCTGAAAAGCCCCCAACCAAACACCACCTTAGTGGATTCTTAGGTAGGTAGTTAGGATATGACATATATCCATAACAGTTGCCTCCAAGCCTGGTATTCCGAAGCTCGGAATGCTGGGGTGTTTGCGTGTTATCTGATCTTGCTGTGCCGAGGTGTTGCCGGGGTACATCAGTACCTCGGACATAGTCTTGATGTCCGCCATGTCAGTGATATTATGTGCTTTTTCTGAGTAATTTCATGTTTTCTTTCTCTTTGCTGAAATCTCATTTGTTCGTATTAGGTCGTGGTGTAGACCTCGGTCATCATGTCATGGATAAGATCGTGCCTGACTCTTGTCATTTCAACGTGACCTTTTACTTCACCTTGACGGTTATAAGCTCCACGTGTCTTATGGCTATTTGAGATTAATGCATCGTGGTTAACGAGTCGTTCTGCATTTGTGTACGTGATGATTGCTCGCATTTAATGCGTGCAGGGCGAAATCACCCTTTTGTCCCTGGTTGCTTAACCGTTTGCAACCCTTTCATCTTCGCGCCTAGAATAGGTTCTAAGCAGAGTAGGGTCAGGACCTTTTAAATTCTTCTTCTCGCATTGTTTGCAAGTTTCACTTCGTTTTGTATTTCCCCTTCCTGTGCGCTTCCTCTTCATCTTCAGGCGTGTTTGTATTATAGCTAAACTCTGCCCAATGCAAGAAGTTGAACCAATGTCTGGGTTGGTCAGCTACAAAACACCGCAAGTACTGTTCCAATGTCCTGTTCACCACCTCTGATTGTCCATCAGATTGAGGATGATAGGTTGTGGTTCTCTTAAGTATCGTGCCACTTAATTGGAACAACTCTGTCCATACTGGATCACGGTCAGAAATCAATGATCTTGGGAACCCATGTAACTTGCAAATCATTTGAGAAAATAGAAGTGCTACTTTTGCTGCATTAAATTTGGTTGGTAATGCTCCAAAGTGAGCATATTTAGATAATCTGTCAACTATGACTAGGATAGTAGTGTAAGCATTAGAGTTTGGTAGGCCTATGATAAAATTCAGAGTTAGATCTTTCCAAACCTTTTCTGGTATTGGAATGGGTTGTAGCAAACCTGCAGGAGCTTAAGCGGAGTACTTAGATTGTTGACAAATCAAGCATTGATTCACAAATTTTTTAACATCTTGATGCAAACCTGGCCATGTGAATGCACCGAAGTTCTGGCTACTGTCTTCTGTATTCCATGATGACCCCCAACTGGTGTAGCATGTGTCTCTTGCAAGATTTCTGTATTAAAGCTGATGTGGGATCCAGTAATAGTTTTCCTTGTTTGAGTAAGAGCCCATCTCTGATATCCATATTTGTGCTTCCTGGTTGCATGTTCAACTCATTGTGAAGCTGCAAAAAATATTTGGATTCCTTATTCTCCTTGCGTAAGGTGTCCAAAATGTCAAACTGAACCGTGGATAGTGTATACAATGAAAAGGCAGCTGGATGTCTAGATAGAGCATCAGCTACTCTATTTTCCTTCCCTGACTTGTATACTATGGAATACTGAAATCCTAGTAACTTAGCCAAATAATACTGTTGTTCTGGTGTTTGTACCACTTGATCAAGTAAAGCTCTAAGGTTTTTTTGATCCGTGCGGATAAGAAACCTCCTCCCTAGCAAGTACTGACGCCATTTCTTCACGGCTTCTGTGATTGCATATAGCTCTCTCACATAAGCTGAAGCTTTTTGCATCCTCAATGATAGCTTTTTGCTAAAATAAGCTATTGGATGTTTCTTTTGAAGTAGCACTGCTCCCACCCCTAAATCAGAAACATCAGTTTCAATGACGAAATCTTGGTTAAAATTTGGAAGAATACGAATTGGTGCTGATAGCATGGCAAATTTGAGTAGCTGAAATGCTTCCTGGGCAGTGGAGGACCAAAGGAATGAATCATTCTTTAACAGATCCGTAAGAGGTGCTGCAATTGCTGTATAGTTGCGAACAAATCTCCTATAGTAGTCAGTAAGTCCCAAGAATCCCCTTAATTGCTTTATGTTTTTGGGATTTGGCCAATCTGCCATTGCTTAAACTTTTGATTTATCCATATTGACCCCTTCTGCTGACACAATGTGGCCAAGATATTCCACTGATTGCTGCGTAAAAAGAGCATTTGCTTTTCTTGATATAAAACTGATTATTTTTGCAATGTAATAAGTACCAACCAGAGGTGTTGCCAGTGATCTTCGATGGATTGGCTGTAAATCAATATGTCATTAAAGAACACAGCTACAAATCTCCTCAAGAATGGTTGCAACAGTAGGTTCATGGTGGCTTGGAATGTAAAAGGTGCATTTGTGAGACCAAAAGGCATCACCAAGAACTCATAATGGCCTTGGTGTGTCCTAAATGCGGTTTTATGAATGTCAGGGGGATGGACTCTGATTTGATGATACCATGCCCTCAAGTCCAGCTTGGAATTTTTTTTGGATCCTCCCAATTCATCCATTAGCTCATCCGCTATAGGAATGGGAAACCTATCCTTGATTGTGATACTATTAAGGGCTCTTAGTCTATACAAAATCTCCATGAGCCATCTTTCTTTTTGACTAGTAATACAGGTGAACAAAAAGCACTAGTGCTATGCCTGATAAAACCAGATTCCAACATGTTGGCTACCTGTTTTTCAATTTCATTCTTTTGGAAGTGTGGATACCTGTATGGCTTCACATTGACTGGCTGTGATTGTATTTCTAGATGAATTTCATGATTCAAGTCTTGATGAGGGGGTAATTTTGTGGGCTTTTGAAATATTCCTTCAAATTCAACTAGCAGTTGTTGAATTTGTGGACTCATAACTTCATTGGGCACAGTTTGCTGTGAGTCTATCACTGTCAACTGGTATAGCGAGGCAATTTGACCAGAATTGTGGATCTTCTTAAATTGGTTCAAGGAAAAAGGACTGCTATGTTGTTCTCCTTGTAACTTAATAACTTCTCCTTCCCATGTGAATTCCATAGTTAGACGTTGGTAGTCTACTGCAATTGGGCCTAGGAGTTGTGGCCATTGTACTCCTAATACCATATCCACTCCTTGGATAGGTAGCACCTGGAAATCAACTAGGAAAATGTGTTGATGTATCTTGACAGGTACTGCTGCACAGAATCCTTGACATTTCAGGACTTGGCCATTCCCCACCATAACATCAAATTGTCTGTCTGTAGACATAGGTAGATGTAAGGAAGAGACCATTTGTGGTTGCAGGAAGTTATGAGTACTTCCTTCATCAACCAATAGTAACATTTCTGACTTCCCAATATGACCATGAAATCTTAAAGTTTGTGGAACCACGAAGCCTGATAAAGCATGGAAACTAATCTGTGGTGTTTCATGTTGCACTAATAACGGTTCCTGATCTGGTATCATCAACTCTTCACTAGCATTAGCATCAGCACTCAATGAATATTCCTCATCCGGTACAATTAATATGTGTACATAAGCTTTACATTTATGGCCACGAAAGTATTTTTCTCCACAAGTAAAACATAAGTTCTTGTCCCTTCTCTCTTGTATTTGACTCTGTGTTAGCCTTTGAATAGTTTCCTTAGGTTGGATAATGTTGGTATTGTTACTGACAGGGTTCTTGGAAGATGAAGGATTGGTTATAGGTGTGTTTGTTGGTGTAGGTAATAGTGGTGGGTACGGGGAATGAAGTTTGGGATAAAAGTATTTACAGGCTAATTTGGCTTCCTGTATTTTGGCCAAGGCTATGGCATTTGTAAGTGTAGTGGGTCTAAATGAATTTACTTTATGTTGAGTTATTGTTTTCAAACCATAAATGAAACAACTAAGTAAAAATGATTCTGATAAACCATTTACCTTATTGGACAAGGTCTCAAACTTCTCTTGATAATCAATGACTGATCCCTGTTGAGTTAACTTTGCTAGTTGTCCTTGATAATCTTCCCATTCAGAGGACCCAAACCTCACTTGCAGTGATTGGAGGAACATTGGCCACGAGGTGATTGTCGTATTTTTCTTAAGCCATTGGTACCATGATAAGGCTTCCCCTTCGAAATAAAATGGTGCAATCCGCAGTCGTTGTGTCTCGTTCATATCATAAAAATCGAAGAATTGTTCCACTTTGAAGATCCAATCTTGTGCATCCATGGATCCATCAAACCGAGGAACCTTGAGTCTCAGATTATGAGAGTCTTGATGATCATTTTCGTTGATGTTCCTATGCTCCGTATCTGCTAATGATGATGAGGAACTCCTTTCTTGGAAATTATCGAAGATTACATCTAGTTTGCAAGTGAGTTCTTGAAATTTCTTGTTCATCTGATCCTTCAACGTGTCAACTCAGATTGAGTCTGGTCCAAACGATTGTCCATGGAACATGCTCTTGTTTCTAGAGGCATGGTTTAGATGAAAGCACCAATTGAAAATGATGACCCTTATCTGCGAAGAACAGTAGAGGAAGAATAAGAGAAGAAACAGAGGAAGATGAGAATTGAACTGCTTTATTATTACTCAGATCAAAAGTCCTTTCCATTACATTCAGATCCTCTTTTATACTAAAGGATCCATACTCTCCTTTTTAACAAAGTCTGTTGCTCTTTCTAACAAACTAACTACTAGTAACTGACTAACCACTAACTAACTAACTACCTTTTGATGAACCTTCTAATTACAACTCCTCACGATATCGATGTGGGAATTTCTTAGTTCTTTTTGTTCTTCTTTCTGCTATACTGACTTCGTGGCCCTCCTCTTCCGTTTATCCTTGCTCTCCCCTCATATCATAACCATTCTCCAATCCTAAAATAAAATATGGCCAACCTCTTCAACATGATGAATTGATTGTTAAGGGCGTGTTAAAAATACAATTAAATGATTATCTACCTTCACCAATAGCTTAGACTCTTGATATCATATTATGCTATCAACTTCCTAAAAACTTAACTGTTAGGGGAAGGCACACAATGATTTTATTATATTTCTTTAACACATTCTTAATATTGATTATTGTGGATAATAGGGTTTGTTTTATGAATTTCGAATGTTAGTGACAACATCGTATTTTAGGGTCATATTGCAATGGGTTTAAGATGTCTTTTTTCCTTTTTGTGTGGAACGATTTGAGATGTCTTTAGTTTGTCCCCATTTGGGTTTACAATTTAATTTGTTTGCGTCAGGCCTTATATAGAGCTTAATCAATGAAAAGATCAATCTTTATAAATACAAATTAGTAGGCTACGGAAAATAATGTTGCCTCCTATATGGGCCACATAAAAATTGGAGATACGCAACAGCAACTAAAACTTAATAGCAAAATGACAGAAAATCTACACTTGGATGGGCTAAGTTAAGGGCCAGAAGGGATGAATTAGCTTTTCAACATTAGCCCAAGCTCTAGTTAAGAGAACAGGGTGAATAGGCCACATGATAGCCCGACAAAAATTTCAAATAAAATAAAGGGAAATATTACTCTCCTTTCACATGAGACAACTTCTCTTATTTTTTCTCACTTTGATTTTCGTACCTCATCTTTTTTTTTCTTGTAATGGTGGGACCCACCCACTTGCTCTCTACAACATAAGATAATTATTTTATATAAAAAGAGATTAATAAAACCCTAAAATAAATGGCTCAAAATAAAGAAAGAGTGCATGTTAGACTCACATGATACCAAAATGGCATATCATAACAGCTCTTAGTTGAGTATGTAGTACATAATATTTGCTTTGATGCCAGCAATAGTACCTTCATATTTTTGGCAGAGGTTTCTAGCCAGTAGCCACAATAAAAATACAGTACATGTTTATGTATTTGAAAATTTTAATTCATCGAAAATCATTCAAGTGAACTTTCCCCTTCAATCTTCTTGTTTTTTTTAAAGATATTCCAATCGATTTATCGTTTCGTGACTAGTCCGATTCAGGGATTAAGACTTTAACCTCTTCCCAAAAACGATATTAGAAAAGATCGAACACATGACCCTCAATCTTCTTCGGTTAAATCTATTACGTGCAACCCAACCCAAAGAAAAAAAAAACATAGATCAAGTTGTCAACTAGCTGTCTAGATGTATTTTTTCCTTATTTTTTTCTTCCTAGAGCAATATCATATATACATTTTTCGAAACAATGAGATTAATGTATTTTGTGTTATAAAAAATTTTATTTTGTATATATATATATATAAATATGTGGGGCTCATATTTTATTTTTTTTCTTTTTTTTCACATGATCCTCACATATTTTTATATATATTTAGGAGATAAAATTATATGTATATTTAAGAGATAAAATTATTTCTTACAATATAAAAAATATTAATTCCATAAAGAAAATGCTCTAAGGGGGTGTATTGGATTGAAATTTCAAAAGATTTTAATGAATTATTGGACAAAAGAATCCATTGGTATTCAATTAGGATTTTAATGGATTGAAAAAAGTCACGTGGTATTCGATTAGGATTTTAAAAGATTATTTTAGAGTCCGCCCAAATCCGTTGATATTCAATCAAGATTTTAAACAATGAAAAAATAATCTTGTGGTATTCAAAAATCTAACGATTTTAATGAAATTTCTATTGGTGTGGATTTCGTGAGACTTTTTAATAAGAAATATAAATATGATGCCTCTCTCACAATCTCACTCTAACCCCTAGGATTTCTTGAGATTTCTCGATTGCAGTGTTTTCTTCTTCCTTTGGCATGTTGACCCGCTCGAAATCGGGTTTCACCATGGGAGCTTCGTCAAGACTCAAAAATAGCATATTTTTTAGCGATTTTCATCACAAAATAACCCAAAAACAACAAATCAACGAGATTTTAATATAATCTATCTCAAAAATAACATATTTTTGAGCCATTTTTGAAAAAATTTGGAAGTTTAAAAAGCGAATTTTCAAGCTATGGGTCGCATTTTTCTTGGCACAAAAAGGTGTGATTTTTGTATTAAAGAACATAAAACAGTGGAAAAATAATAGGGAAACTAAAAACCTCAAACCAATTTTTGTTTTACATCATTTAAACAATATCAATTTAAAGAAAGATTGAAATTTTCATAATATGTACCCTATATTTCGTAATAATACATTCATGAACGAAATTCCTTCACTATAGAAAATAATTTTAAACAATTTTTGTGTCAATAGATAACTAAAAACTTACTTTTGAAAAGCTCCAAAGCAATTTAAGGTTTCAATGTATCGTTTGTAAAAAATTTGAGAAATTTTTTAAACTTTCATGTAATAAAACCCAAAAATTCATATTCGAATTTTTCTTACAATATTCAATGAAAATATTCATATGATATATGGTTAGAAAACTCTTATCACGTAGAACAAAAACCTCAAGATTTTCAAGATCAATTGCAAAAAATTTCAAACAAAATTTTATCATGAACTTTAGGTTCTATATGCAAATTTAGAATTATTTTAATAATTGAAAAAATAGGGTCTTGTACTCATATATGTATAGCTTTGATACCAAATGAAGAAGATAATTTTCAACCCATTGGTCAAACCCAAGAGTAGAAACGAGAAAATGCTAACGCATGGAGGACTAGTATACTTTTAGATATGTGAAAAACTATTGCTTAATAATTTTGAATGTTTGTTAAAAATTATATTATGTTTTACTGATTGAGAAAATTATATTAGGTTTTATTTTTTTTATTAATTTCATTGCATTTCTTTGTTATTTTTTATGGGGAATGTTATACTTACAATCTATTTTTGTTTACAATCATATTTTAACCGTTGATTTTTATCAATCAACAATTATTATTTTCGCAAATTAAACTCATTAATTAATATTTAATTCGCAATGAATGATAACCGTTGATTGACGGAAATTAACGGTTAAGATATGATTGTAAAAGGTTGTAAACAAAAATAGGTTGTAAGTATAACATTCCCTTTTTTTTATTAACTCTTGTAATCTTAAATGTTTGTTAAAAATTCATATGATTTTTTAAAATCTTATAAATCCATATTGTCCTTTCAAATCTTATAAATTCTATCATAATCTTTTAAAATCCAATCTTATGAAATATTAATTGTAAGAAAAGTCTTTTAAAAAGTATTTAAAATTCCTCCAATTTTAAATAGTCTTTTAAAATCTATAAAAAAAATTATCTTAGTTTTTTTTTTTTAAATTCTAATTCAATACACTCTCTAAGTTTATGGAATTGTCGCTAAAACGTTACATGAAAAAAAAAAAAAGTAACTGTTTTTGTGTTTTGTAAATTACTCTATTTCTTTTTTTTTTTTTTACTTTTTAACTGTCAAATAATAAAGGAAATGGGTTTGTACTAGTGTGAATAGTTCATTCGTACAGGTCACTCTGTATACAATATTAATTTTGTACTATAGCAATCTAATGGTCCAAATCTATAGATGCGATTGCTTGCAACGCTTCAGCAGATATCCTTTTTTCTATCCAACTTGGGAGTGGAAGATGGAATTTTACATACAAAATTTAAAGGGTGTTCAATTTTGTAGCAGGGGTCCTTTGTAACGCACATTATTCTTAAATGAAATGCAGTCAATTTCTTATAGAAAAAAATATTTCTTCAGTTATTAGAGATAAAATTATTTTTAATAAACTCAAAATTATGTCATTTTGAATTGTAAAATTAAAAAACTATAACAATAAAAATTAATATAACTTTACAATAAATTAATATAAATAAAAAAATTAATATTAAGAAAGAAAACACCAAATTTTGGATGGGATTGCAATTATTATGGAGCCCAGCCCAATGCTAATAGAATCTGTCAGATCAAATTGTCACGTACTTCCTCCTTTCTGCTCAAAACAGAACTGGGGGGACCTCATACTTCTACTTTATAGTGCGTGCCTTTTACAGTTTCCTTCAGTGCACCACAACATAACATCCAATTATTTTGACTTACTTTCCTTTCGTGGCTTTTTTTTTTGTAAATGCAACGAGGTTTTTGACTTTTGGCAATTAATATTTTTAAATGCTATGATGAGGGCTGAAAAATAGAAAGGGATGATTATTGTTCCAGCCAGAGGGTTACCCGGAGCAAAGTGAGTACAATACCTCTCAGTTTACACGTTCTCCAAAAATATTTGCCAGGTGTTGGTTATGTCTGCACCATGTGCCCTCTTATTGTTACTGCAGACACATTATTATACCTTTATTTTGCATATAGTAATCTATTGCGATTTGTCTCTTCTCTAGGACGGATTTCATATCAATTACGATCTTCTTAAATGGAACAACACACAATTAACAACTTTGAGAGTTGATGAGCTTGATATTAAATTATGAAATCACACTCCCCTCAGTTTGCTCCAAATT